CTGGAAATCTTTCAAGATGTTTTGGCCAATATGCGAGTTATATTGGCCAAAGTGCCTTTCTTCCTTTTTTGACTTCTAGCTTCTTCTTTTCTCCTTCTCCAAGTATTCTTCTTCTTGCAATATTTGTTAGAAAAATGTGAGAATAGGATATCATTGTTCATGTTATTTTTTTAGTAAGATATTATTATTATTATTCATGTTTTATTGTAAAATCTTATCTTTATATATTGAAAATACATGGATAATTTATATCCGTGACGAATATACATGTGATCTGAACAGCCTATTATTATTATTATTATTATTATTATTATTATCATCATTGTATTTGCAGGTGAGGAGAACATTTTCACGTTGTGAGATAGTTGGAAGACGGTTTCCAATCTGCCATGTGCATGTTGACAATGAAGTTGTGGAGGTTTGCCATGATCTTTTTCACTTTTCTCCAATCTAGGTGCTAAGATCATTTTGCGCTCTCCAAATTAATATTATTTGCTTATGACACGCATCTTATTTTTATTAATTAGGTTTCAAGCTTTCACACCTCAGGAATAAGGTCTGAGAGGGGCTTGAGTTCATCTTTTGAGAAGCCAGTTGACTCTGATGAGAAAGACCACTTTCGATGGAGAAATTGTTTGCATAGAGATTTTACAATAAATGGGTTGCATATCTGATCCTAGTACCTTCTTGAATTTGCGTTTGTCATTGTCCCACATTGGCCAACCACTTACATTAATGTCGTGCAGTACTGAATTTTTTGGTTTTTTATACGTAGTTTATTATGGGTTCGAGATGTTTCAGTAGACTTCTAAACTTTATCTAACAACTCCTGAAATTTCATATTGTCTACTCGCGATTGTAAATTATCCTCTTTGTTTTTGCTCAGGTTGATGTTTGACCCTTACTCAAAATTCATCTACGATTACTTGGGAGGAGTGGATGATATCAGGAAAGCTAAAGTGTGCATATAATCGTTGATGATGTCTACTTGTTACCCTAATCCCTCTCCATTCTGATCGGATCACTTGTGCTACAGGTACGAACAATCGGTCCTGCTAGTTCCTCATTCATAGAGGATTGCGGTGAGTTCCCTTTCATTTCCTGTTCCTTTAGTGAAGTTCGACTATTAAATGATAGGCAGTTAAGTCCTCTGTATCTATTCGGGCATTTATTGGCTTTGTGTATAATCTTGTTTGAATGACTTGTTCTCTCTATATACTATACACAAGAGTGCTTAAATTGCCAACTTCTTTGCTCTTTTCTTTCTTCTAAAGCAACTTCATTGCTTTATTGTAATCGTTTAACTTATATTTGTTATGTAACAAAAATATTTTTACTTTACTTTGCAGCTCGAATCCTTCGTGCAATTAGAATTGCGGCCAGACTAGGATTTCGATTTGGAAGGGAGACAGCTCTTTCTATCAAAAACTTATCATCTTCAGTCCTGAGGCTTGATAGGGTAATTGGAGAACTTCTCTTTCTCTCTCTATGTGTCTGTGTCTGTGTATATGTGCGTATATTTATGCGCGTAATGTTTAAATTGATACCTTATGTATGTTGGTTTACTACCAAGAAAGCTATTATTTTGATAAGTCAAAGCACTAGAACTACTTCAAAATGTTCTATTCTGCTTTGGTGTTTTCAGGGAAGGCTCCTCATGGAAATGAATTACATGTTAGCGTATGGCTCTGCTGAGGCGTCACTAAGATTGTTGTGGAAATTTGGTCTTCTAGAAATACTTTTGCCAATTCAGGTTGATATATTCTGAATCTCTATTGCACCTTATGGTTAACTTAATTACATTTCTGATATAGCTTAATTTGCAGGCAGCATATTTCGTTCGCTATGGTTTTAGAAGACGCGATAAGAGGTCTAACATGCTTTTGGTAATTTTTTTGTATAAATCTTTCTCTGGATGCTAGATGTTTGATTTCTTCTTTTTGGGTCCACCATAGACTCCTGTCCTCCATAAGGTACTAGGGGGTAAAAAAAATTTCCCCTAAAAATGTAGTACATACTGGCCTTAAGGTGATGGGAAACATCGGTGGTTATAAGTTATGCTTAGTCATAGCTGCATTATTGGCTAAAAAGTGATTTAACGCCTTGATGTGGTGGATTTTGGACCATAAGTTCATTCAATGAAGATCTGATGATCACAGACTCAAATTCTCCTAAAGAAGCCAAAAAGAGAAGAAAACAAGAACCTACAGTTTTTGTCGGTTTGCAATTAACTTGGTGTTGATCTAATGGGGAATCATAAGGTTGTAGATCTCACACTGAGAACATTTTCATGAGAATCAATGCTCTTGTAAATGCAAATAATGATTTTGAGAACAGCACTGGGTGAAGAAGCAATAATGTTTGATTTAGCAACAGTTGCTCCAGATTGTTTTAATGTGCCATAAAGATTACTGTGTGCTTATTAAGTACTTTTTAAGAAAGCAATACCAAATCTAGTGCATGTGCATTCTTAGAATATACACGTGGTCCTGCTTAATTTTATATTTTTCTTTTGCATTAGATGGCCTATACTACTATGAAGATAAATCATGATTTCTCTAACATCCTATTTGTGCAAATCATCAATTACCAACATCCAAATGCTGATTTTATTGTGATTCCCTATCTTTGTGTTGATGGACCGTTTTAATACCATGAATATAATTGTCACATATCTCCTTTAGTTGCCAAATGCAAGTTTTGACATGATAGAAATTTTGCATATCTCATTTCTTGAACCCATTTTATGTTGATTTTGGTTTGATGAGTAAGAAGTCAAAGCTAATGATTAACTTGTTTCTGCTTCCTTTGCAGTCTCTATTTTCCAACCTCGATAAATTACTGGCCCCTGATAGGCCATGTCACAGTAGCTTATGGTAAGATTCTCTGCACAGGCTTCAGCAAGTAAGATGGTTTGTAAGTCACTCTATGAATCAATTTCATTTTCAGTTTATTTGATATTCAGTATTCACTGGATTGTGTAGTATTATTCCTATTTCTGCATGATAATTCTCTTGTGTCTGGGACCAGGACTTTTCCTCTAAAAAGTTGGTTAAAGGACTGTTAAAGGTACTAGATTGAAAAGGAAAACTGAAGAACAAAATTCTCATATATGTATATAAAGGACCATTGTAAGTACTAGATAGAAATGGGAACCTAAAGGACAAATCAAATATGTTTGTGTGCGATCTTTGACTTCATCAAAAAATCTATGTACCCCTAAAAAAATAATTTTGAGTTGCTGCTCTAACTTTTTAATATCTAAAATGTCTTACGCGATTCTCCCAGTCAGTTTGACTGGGCTTGTTTACTGGTCCAAATGTGCAAATGTTCCATATATGATAGAATAGCAAACCCTCCGGTTCTTCAGTGTAATTCTTTCAACAGATTTCTCAGTCAGATAAATGCAAGCAAACAATACTTTTGGCAAGTAATTGAAAACGTGCAAGTACAGATTTTTTAATAATTATGTTTTAATAATGTTAGTCTGTTTACTGCTAAGACCTTTGCTTTCTAGGAATTTTTTTAGCCTTATTAGAGATTCTTATGCCCTTAACAAATATAGAAAACTTTTAGTGCTTTTTACTTTTAATTTTTTTTGTTGTTTTGTATGATGTTTGCCTGAGATGAATTTAAATGGAGAAACATGGTCAATGAGGATTTATATAAGGCGAGACCTACTTGTTTGGGACCAAAGTGTAGTTGTCATTGTTTGTTGTAATTGAGAACATGCAAGTGAACAATCGTACTGAGAGAAATCTGGCGCATTTGTTGGCCTCATACTGACCAATTCTATTATATGTTTGGAGCTAACTCATCTTGCTTTACGTAGTGATTGGAGCTGCACAATCTGCACATTCTCTTTGATCAGTAATTCCAACTGAAGTCTGCCTAGTTATGTGCATATATTCTCTGTCATACGTGATTCCTAGCCAAAGAACTAATAATTTTAAAAGAATGTGAATAATAGGGTGTAGGTATATGTTAACATGCCAATTAGCCAAGCTTATCTGAATTCTGTACGTTCTAGGGTGGCAATTTTGGCTTTCCATAAAGCACTCTCAGATCAGCCAAGGGACCCTTTGGTGGTTGCTGCATTTGGCCTTGGTGTCCATAACGGAGGCGATCTGTCAGAAGCTTTAAGTATAGCTAAAAGGATCTCCACACAACATGATGGAAGCTTTCATGAGTTGGAGTCTCAGGATCTGGACTTGGCAGCTTTGAAAGAGGAAGTTGTGGAACTGGCAACTTCCGTTCAAAGGGCATTAACTAATATGACAGATGAGTATTTTGTCTCACGAGCAATGACCAACTATCCTAAAGCGCCGTACTCAGATCTAGTAAGCTGATTTCCCTAATATTCTTTCGTTCTTGGTTTGCTATTCTTCGTGAGTAATCCTTTCTTTCTTGTCCTGGTAGTTGGACCTTGTATTGAATGTCTCTTCATATTTTTGGCATACAGCTATAAACTAAAAGAAAGTTGATATTATCTGTCAAAGAAGGAGCATGTTAATCTCTTCCTTTTTCATTCTTTTTGCAGGTATTTATTCCATTAGCACTGTATTTAAGAGCGTGCAAGGTTTTCCAATGCGTTAGAATGGGGAAGGAGAAGGGATTTGTAGCTAAACAAGGTAGCAAGATAGACTATGAGTTGTTAGCTTTGGGTAGCCTACAGGAAGTTCGACATGTCTTTGCAAGGATCGTCTTTGATACGATATATCCATTAAACATTGGCGAGGATGATACCTAGAATTTTTGTTAGCGGAAGTCATGTATTTTTTCCAATAGAATGTATTATCAGTTGCAGGAAAAGCTGTCAAGTGTAAGGAAATAGCTTGATCCAATAAAAACAGTTGTCCTGTTTGCCTTGATAAAATATTGTGTATACTCTTATCATCTGTTTGCTGGTTTTTCGTGAAGGTCTTTCCTTTGTGGTGTTGGATACACACTGTATAAGGAATCGAGAAAAGAAATATCATGTCATCACATGAGAACCATGATAATTATGAAGTGGAGAAGCAACATATTCTCATTATAAGTTTGACATTATTTGAAGTCAAAAATCGTGGTTACAGACTAAGGTGGTACTTCAAGCCCAATGATGCCGAGGATGATGTATCCTCCAAAACATAGGGATGTAAATGCACACCTTGAAAGAATGCAAAACTAAATACTACCTTATATCAAATGTCAAAAACTTTAAATTGAAAGAATTCCCAGTTTCTTTCTAGTACTAGAGGAAAACAAGAAGATATCAGGTGCACATGAGTTCACTTCTGGGCAGGAGGAGCTGCACCACCGGTCGTTGGCCTGCAAGGTGAGGAATCTAAGCATCAGTTCAAGATATTATAAATACATCACAAGAGTATCTCCTGCTTGATTCAATGATACAAATGGAAGATAAGGAAGAAGAAACTTACAGCCCAACAAAAACTTTGAAAGAATCATAAATTCCCCATTGTGCTCCAGTGAGAGTGCCAATCATGAATATACGAAGGGGAAGACCACGAGTACAGAGACCCCATAGGCCTAGCTTATTCACAGCCTGCAAAAAGGGAAAAATTGAAGAAAGAATTCGTTAAGTATATTGCAACTAAAATATTAGTACAGAGGATGCAGTTTAATGTATACTCACATCGCCAACAGTTGCCCCCTTGGCATTGTTGAGGAAAGAAACTAGGTTATCAGCAGGGTGTGATACAACAGCGCAGAGAATACCAGCCAAATATCCACCAGCAAAGCTTACACCAAGCTGCGTAGTATTACTGCACTGCTCTTTTGGTGTTGGAATGACATGTTTATAGAGTTGTTCCACAATGGTTTCAAATGATGCAAACTTCATCATGGTGTCTGTAAAATAATCCATGTTAGAGCCTGTTTGGCCAAGCTTCTAGGAGGCCAAAAGTACTTTTTTTTGGCCAAAAAAGTACTTTTTGAAAAATTTAAGGTGTTTGGCCAAAATGAAAAAGTACTTCTTAGCAGCAGCAGAAGCAGTTTTTCTGCTTCTGGGAGAAGCTNATTTTTTTGGCTATACATTTATTCTCTCTTAATCAAATTTTTATTTTCTTTCTCCTATTCTTAAGAGTAGATTTTAAATTTATATTGAATGTTGTATTTTGACATATTTAAATTATCATATAAATAATAAGTAATACCAACACTCAATATTGTTGCTTTGGAATAACTATATTTTATATTAATTAGAATTTTTAATTTATATTTTACTTTACGTTTTATATTTTAATTGAATTCTTTTCTAATAAATGTTTAAATTTATTTTTCTTTTCTAATAAATGTTTAAATTTATTTTTCTTTTCTAAATAATACTAATCGCAAATTGAACCTTTATTGTCCTTTTTCGTAATTTGATACTTAAAAGTGCTTTTTTAAAAGATTGGCCAAGCACGATGAACTTGCAAAAAGCACTACTCAAATGAATTAGCCAAACATAAATTACTTATTTTGCAAAAGTACTTTTTCAGAAAGCACTTTTGAATAAAAGCGCTCAGTGAACCTAGGCCGTTCCCATTTTCCACAGCAATGGAACATTCAACAAAGAGCAAACAGATGCCAGGCACTTTGACCGATAAAAGTCAAGAATTTGAGATATATTTAATTACACTATCAATGTAGTTTAACCCGTGATAGTAGGTCAATTTCCACTTTTACTAGGTTACCAATTAATGTTTATTAAAGTTATACAGATTGTTTTTTCAAGAAATAGGATGACGCCTTTGAGAAGGTTTCCAAGATTTAAATTATAGAAAGTACAAAAATAAAAACTAGTAATTTAAAACCAAAACTGATGGAAAATTCAGAGAACTTTTATATGTAAGCTTACATGGAATCTGTCGTCCCCAGAGAGGTACAATCCCCTTATAAAGCCTGTAAGAAAAATTCAAAGTCCAAGTTTACGTTAGTACTCAATATTGATGAAACCCCACAACGAAAAAATTAACAATAACATAATAGAATAGGCATGTATACCCAGCAGCGCCTTCAGCTTTGACAAATTTAGGAAGTCCATCAGACAAGCCTCTGGCAAAACCAGGCTGAGTTTGGACACGAACTTTGACAGCCTCAAAAGGGCAGAGTGCAACATCAGCAATAACTTCAGCAGAAAAAGAACCAGCTAGATATATCAAAGTCTTGTACTTGACAGCATTCTCAGGGCCAGCAAGGTCTGAATAATACTTCTTGAAATATTCGTAAAATCCATATTTGCATGCTCCTTGTACGCTGTAACCAAGTAAAGTTGGTGCCCAACCCCTAAAGAAACCTCTAATACCCTGCTCCTTTAGCAGAACTCCAAAACCAGAAGAAATGCTCTTGTACTTTGCAGGATCAATCTGATAGATCAAACAAGTTAATTATAAGAACATTAAATCCGTCATTAAACCAAACTTTTGTGGAAATTTGGCTCTTTTTTCCTCTTATAACTTTGCTACAACGGTTAATTTCAGGTAGGGTAACTGAAATTTACCACTATGACAGTAAAGTGATAAAATCCTGAAGCGGCGCTAGGATTTGAGGTTTATGGGTTAGGAATTTCAATCATTTTAAGTTTTTGGGTTCTAAATTAGTAATTGGTACATATTCAATGAATATTTAATGACAAATACAAAGTTTAAACCAAAGCTATTGAGTTCGACCAAACACGTATTCGACGTGCTAGCTCCGCCCCTGATAAAAACTATTTATTGTCACATCAAAGTGAATGAATTGTACTTACTATAATAATAAATTTACAAAATTATTTTTTGTCATATTAAAGTAAATGAACTATTATGTGTGAATTGCTCAAAAAATACATGTGAATGGAAGTTGATGAATTTCTGGTTTTTTCCCTTTTTTTCTCTTTGCTTAATTTAAATACTCTTGTAATTGTCTTTTGTTTTAAGACATGGTAGTGAGTCTTTAATGAAGTTTTGATCAAAAGTAACACACAAAACTAAGTCTAATTTTACATGAACAATTTATGCAAGACTAAGCATCACGTTTTCATGCTCGTTATCTTCAAAAAGCTAAACTTAAGCATCATCTTTACGTTATGCTCGAATCCAATAGTTTTAGTTCAAAATCCTAAATTTATCTTAAAAAATTCATTAAATATGTACAAAACTCAGTAAACAATCACAAACTCATAAGCTTTAAATTCTAGGTTAGAAAATAAAAGGGATATATCCTATGCTGTATAGTAATACCTGCATGTTGCACTTAACAAGATCGAGCGGGGTGACAGCGGTGTGGGTAAGACCACAGCTGAGAATACCACCGACCGTACTGGCAGCGTAGAACGCCGGTGTATACATTTCTACCTTATACCCTGAACCCGAACCCGAACCCGAACCCTCCTTTGGTGCCGCAACCAAGAAAGGCTTCTTGCTCATCGTCGATGATGGTGACGGGAAAACAGACGGCTGAGATGAGCTATCCATTTTGTCATGATGATCCAAAGTAGTGAGATTAGAAGAACGTCCCGTGTAAAGATAACTAGGGATCAAAGATTTTCGGACAGAGTTATCTGAAAAAGCCATTGCAGTAGTTTGCAAGAGTGCTAATAAGGAAGCTCAAAAGAGCGTTGGAGTAATGTGTGAGAGAATGGAAATGAAGATGAAGAAGAATAATAACTCACCAACGAAGGAGGAGAGTCGAAGATGGCTACGTTTTATGGAAGGCTAGCTGTTATTGTAATTGGCTTTTTTAGCGTGGCTTTTGGACCAATTTATTTATAAATCAAAGGTTGGCGGCCTTGGCAGTTGGCTCCCTCCCCCTTATTTGAGTTCTGAGGTGCCTCATCACTTGGTCTGCGTTGAATTTTATTTAAGCATTGACCTTTCTTTGCTTTTGTCTTTTTAATTTTCAAGACTTTTTTCCTTCAATAGTAAACAGGAGGAAAGACATGGTGTGACAATAATCTTTTGTTATTTTATTTATTTATTCATTTGGAGGCCCTATTCAATGGGGAAAGGACACAAAGGGATAGAGCCACGGGCATATTTAGCTCCTTTTTTTTTTTTTTTTTTTTTTATTTAAATTTTTATTTTGGGGTCTATTCTTTCTTATGGTAATATTTTTGTTGTGCTTTATGTTCAAATCCCTCTTTCCCTCCCCTCCATAACATATTTTCTGACAATTTTGCGATTGAAGTTGTTTTCATTTTTTCTGTTTGGCTTGGAAAATGCAGAATGAAATAGTAAGAAACAATGAATGAGACGGGTGAAGGATCTTCAGGTCACATGCCATGCCGTGATGATATGAGGTTTTAGGCCACTTATATTGCAAAGTCACTGATTACGCAAAGTCATTAGTAATTCAGGTTATGGCAACAGAATTATACTATTAAATTTGATTCTTAGAATGGTCAACATATATAAATCTAGAAGGGACAGTTTTACTACTACTTGGAAGAATTCTAAGAACTCATGCTAATTGCCTGCCTTGTGATTAAATGCGAATTGCCTTGAGTAGCTGAAACTTTGCACTTTTCCAATTTCCAAAAGGTATGTTCGGACGTAATAGACCCCAATACTTGACCAACGACTAATAACCTTTTTTAGCTTAGAAACTTCTTTTCTCCTTCCTCCGGACTCCCTCCTAAATTCCTAGCTTTTGGTACTAATACTCATTCAAGTATCTTTCTCATGCTCTAGACATTAGCGTGTTCCAATTTCGTTTCTCTTTTGCAGGAGAATTTAGTCAATCGTATCTGGAATATAAAATTTGAACAACTACTAGTATTATTATTATTATTGAAATATGAGAGTTTTTATTAAAAAGGATGAATAAGTCGTGCAAGTCAAATATATAGTTTATAAGAGAGAATATATTGAAGTTTAATGGTTGCAATTTCACCTTACACCACAAATAATTGGAGTGAGAACAATCCATTAAAGGCTTCTCTTCTACTACTATATTTCTGATCTCTTACCGTTCACAGGTCCATGCATCTCGACGAATAACAACAGCAAATTCAGTATAATTCCACAACTAGGGTTTGGGAAAGGTAACGTATATGTATACCTTACCCCACTTTGTGAAGGTAGAGAGGCTATTTCTGATAAACCCTCAGCTCAAGGAACAGTGAAAAGGAAGCAACCAACAATAACAACAAAAAGAAAAAAAAAAGAAAAAACAATGACACAAAGTATAATAACAAGACCTAGAGATAAGAAATGGAGTGCAAGAATAGTACTAATACTACTGGTAAGAACCATGCATCTCGACGGGAAAAAACGATAGTCATCTATAGTTTTCTAGAAACTTGGCCAAAATAAGATTTTCCTTAGGGTAGTAACAAGTAAGAGAATAGAGTATCAATTTTAAATCTGTAACTGATGTTTTATACTTCAATACCAATTCAATACCACATAAGAGGGGGGAGGGGGTGATTTGTGTGTTGACCAATTTTTCACTTAAACTGATTATAGAAGGACATGGTTCTTCTAAGTGTTCCTTAACCTACTATTGCAGAAATAGTAAATTCGGAAAGTAAAGAACAAGTATTTTACGTGGAAAACACCTGGCTCAAAAGGTGAAAAAAACCACGACCTACTTCCAGTAGGATTTTCCCAAACTCTCCACTAAAATCACTGAGCCAAAAACTGCATTTACAAAAACTCTTTTGTAAACCTAGGACTAACTCTAATCCCGTTGTAGCAAATAACCTCTAACTGTTGCGACAACTTCAAGTTAACTCTAACTTGAAGACTCTGAGTACCTATTACAATTGCCTCTAGATAAAGCTGAAAGGTACAATATAAAACCACCTACTACAATTGAACTAGAATAAAAGACAAACACTTGGAACTGGTTCTTCTATCTGGTTAATGTAGCTTCAGGTTTACACACTTGAATCACACACGAACGGCTTGCAAAATTGCCTTGCTATTTTGCTCTCAATTCACGTTTAGCCTCTGCTTATGTGCGTTACCTATAAAAGAGAACAACACTGATATTTATAGAGTTAGTAAATAGAGATTGACTAGAATTCTGATGCTACTCTTCCTTGGTGGAAGAGTTCTACTTGATTTCAACTTCTAACTCCTTCCATATCTTGGATAGTGTTCTCTTTGACTAAGGAGTCCTTCTCCTTATCAATTATGCAACCTTTTCAATCAGGAGATATCAAGTATACCATGTTAAGCTTATCTCCTTCACGTGCATCCCACATGCTCGAATCTTGCCCGTTTCTATACACACAGGGGATGGACCTGGAGGGATGGACCTGGTTCACGCCTGAGTTCCTTTGTCAGCCTTCAAAACTAACCTTTACTTGGGCCAACAAATTCCCCCTTTTTGATGACGACAAACTATGTGCTTTTCATAAGCTTAGGCCCTGTTTCAAATCAGCTCAACATCAACACAATGTTAGAAACATTTTTCCTTTTTTATTACTTATCATCAAGGACCAGGTATATTAGGTTATAAACATCACTTGTTCAAAGCTAAACAACACTTGTTTAAAGCACAACCTATTTATTTTTCCCCTTTTGGCATCATCGAAAAGTTGCATAAAAATGTGAGATAACCAGATTTTAAAGCTTACTCATGGCCACTGGGGCTACTTCAAATGCAATCATGGATTAATCATCATAGATCCAGCTAAGAATTTTAACCATCAAAGAAAGATAAACAAACAATTAGAGCAAAAGACAGTGAATTTCATTGATGATTGATAAGATTCTACCACAAAGCATAAGAAGAAATAAAAATATTGGAAACATGAACAAAAACAACAAAAAATCCTGAACTGGATCACTGGTTGATCTACACTAGGCTAGGAGGCTTAAGGCTGGGAAGAACTAGGTGCTTGGTTTTTTGGCTTGGAGGAGTTTCAACATATCCTAAATAATGCCAGCATTATTCTCCTTTTCTCTTACCAGCTCAGTTCTAAGAGCGTCTCTCTTAGTCTCTACCTCAGTCAACCTCTTCTTCAGCCTCTCAATCTCAGCATCCTTAGCCCCAATTTCTTGCATCAAGGCTCTGACCTTGCTATTCACTGGTACCTTCTTGGATGAACCAGTTTCTTTAGGAGTGGAATTGACTTCATAATCTCAAACAAGCAGAGTATTAACCCCAAAATGATCCTAGGTTGTAATAATATCCCACTTCTTCATAGGTACCTTGAAATGTGCAAGTACAGTTGTGAGAATGAAGCCATAGAGAATGGCATGAGTTTTGGTGCCATTGATAACCTTATCAGTAGGTCCGCGAGGGTTTCCTATTCAGATGGAACAGTTTCATCTATATTTTTCCCAAGTTGAACCAACCCCTCAGCAGCTTCGCCAGACCCACTTCCCCCTGTTTTGCTCACACTCTCTTCTAGTTGAGTAAATTCCTCTCCCCAAACAACCATTGCACCAGTTTCTTTTGTTAGACCAACAGGAGTGGGTGAAGAATCAACCATTCTTTTACCCTTTCCCCTCACAACACTCCTAGCACCCTTGCTCTCTTTTTCTTTTCCCTTTTTATTTTTACCACCAACTTCTCCAGATTTTGTAGTCTCAACATTTGCTATAAATCCTACCAGTACAAATTTATTCTCCAAATTTGTAGCAACTTCAGAAATTGTCTCAAGAGTAACTTTAGAATCAGAAGACACCTGTTCAGTTTCAGATGAACTACTTTCTTCCCCCTTAGTAGCAGACTTAAATGAATCTTCAGATTTCTGAGATTCTTCTTCCCTACCTGCTTTCAATTGCTTGTTTATTTTCTTGATCTGCTCTCCTTCAGCGAAAATCTTACGAGCCATCATCTTTACTCTACTTTTCTTAGAGATTGGTGTGGTTGAAGGAGTGATAGAAGGTGTGGAAGTGGTTTCCTGTGGTGGTGATGAAGGATTTTCAGAGGTGTTCGACATATCTGGGCTAGGGTATGGAAGAGAAGAGAATTACATTGTGTTTGGAAGACGAAAGAAGAATGAGAGTTTTTGACGGCTTGAGAGAGACGAAGTAAGGAATACACTAAAGTTGATCAATATACAGAGGAATAATTAATGGGGTAACGACAGCTTTTCAGACTCTTAGAAGTCTAATCAAACTGAAATTCAGTTTTGAAGAGACGTTGGAGTGTATCCCTAGAATCTAGGTACTTCCATTCGGTTGGGAGTCTTTTGAACGGAACTGGTTCACTTATAACAGATAAGTCCAAAAGGAGTTTGGAATTAGGTAGGACTCTGCTCATGATCCAAATATAATTATTTCAAATTATGCAGAGTGTAGAAAACATACCTATTTATCTTGATGAACCAGGTTCTTCACTGAAAATTCTCTTGTGTAAGTCTAAATTGCCAAAACAGAGAAAATACCATTAGAGATTAATGAGTCATTTTAGTACATGGCACAGGAGTATACTGTTGAAAGTATGAGACTGAGCAAGATTTAATCTAATTATATACAAAATTTACAGACTTTCTAACCAATAATTTTTTTTTCAAATATTTTTTTCCGCTTAACTTTGAACTGGTCCTTTTAGGTAATCTTAATCATCCCTAATCCAACCCGTTCCTCTCAAAGTGATCTCTACTTAAGGCTTTTGTTTCTGAAGACCCATTTTGTGCCAATTACTGATATGTCCTTAGATTTTGGTACTAGATGCCAAACTCGACTCCTTTCGAATTGGTTGAGTTCATCTTGCAATGCATTTACCCAGTCTTCATCCTGCAAAGCCTTAGCAATATTTTTAGGTTTAATAAGAGATAAGAAAGCATAAAAAGCACAAAGATTCTTTAATGAAGATCTGGTTTTG